TCCCTTGAGCTTCTTCCAACATGCCGGAACTCCTGATCCTGTCTTCTAATTGTTTAAACTCATTCTCGACCGGGTCATCATCGGTTGAATGATTATGAGGGCTTCCACCCATGATTCGAAAAGGAAATTTGCCACCGGAAGAACTACCTCGATGAATGATGAAGCGAGGTCCATTGGTTGGAGGTTGAGAAATGGAAGAATTTGTGCGACGAATTACAGAACGAATTTCCGAGCCTTGATCATTTATAGAATTTTTGACTTCATCTAGTTCGCGTTGTAGATCGCTCAAACGGCGTTGCAAGAGCCATTGTTTCTGATTAGGCGTGAGATGTTTGCTAGATTCGATGAACCGCATCAGATTAGGACTTTGATTGTCATGCTTGATCAATTTTGGTAAGGTAGCAGACCGATCAAGTTGTTGTGTAAGTGTGCTGAGAAGCTCGATCATCTTATTGACTTTGACGTCAGCTTCAGAGTAAGACAAAAATGCGAGTCGATCGTCCCATGGACCGTGACGGATACTGGGAACCATGACGTCGATCAGTCTAGGAAGTTGACTAACGGTAACTTGGTTTATCAAACGTGACATTCTCTTTTTCTTTTCGTCCAAATTACTATCAGGGCTCTCATGATGAGCGCTAAGCGCGTTGATGAAAGCAATCGAAGTGGCTTTAAAGCTTTGGATGATCCGATCAACTTCATTTTTTTGCTCAGGATTACTCATGAGGAAGGGGCAATCGTCGAAATAAGTAATTTGTGCGCCACAAAACGGGGTGTCATCATGGACAAGTCGATCAATACGAAAACGCCTGAGGCCGACAAGATTGACTAAGTAACCTGTCTGACTAGCACCAGAAGAAGGCGTGATATTGAGGACTTTTGCTGAGCATCCCCATTGGTAGAGCTGGTCGTATGGGTTATGATCAGACGAAGATCCCTCCTCAGGATTCTGCGTGTCTGGAGCCAAGATGGAGACATGAGCCGAGGAAGGCGAAGAGTTGGCTGAGTCCTGTGAGAAACGAAGGATCTGGAGACGAATTTGCTGAGGATGAGAGCCACCAGTTTTGTGAGTGTTGGACTTGAGGGGCACACATCCCAGAATAAGCTCGGGTGAAGTGCCTTGATGAAACGAGTTTGAAACGTTTTGAAGAAGCGACCATGCTGGAGAAGCTGAATGGTAAAGAGTGGTAAGAGTTTGCTTGGGGAAGATGATTTGGTTAGGATTTAAAGGAAGAATTGGAAGTTGTAAAGGTTTTCCGACTGGGAACTCAGCATTGGACATTGTGATAAAGGATGTGGATGGAAATCAAGTGAGATGGTGAAATGGTAAAGAGAAAGAAACACAATCTATGCGGATTGAGGCTGCGACCCGGCATCGGCCCCGGCCAGTCGACCGTGCCCGCTATTTTCAGACAGTAAAGACCCCGAAGACCCGGTCTGCCTGGTCTGGCCAGTTGCCCGTCATTTTTTTTGTTGGATATGCAAAAAAAAATACCTTCTGAGTAGGCTTCAACCTTACAACCTCGACCAATCTCGTGAATCAATCAAAAAAAAATCAATCAACCAAACACCCTTATTAAACACCTCTCGATGCCGTCGAAACGCCCTTCGGGGAGTGACGAGGATAACCCATCACCTCCCCCCAAAAATTCGAAATCGAATCATGCCCAAGTGGTCCCGAACTCGATGGAAGACGTGCTAGCTTCATTAGCCACGAGCAACTCTAACTCGAACGATGCCCTTCTTCAAACAGTAATCCAAATGTTATCGTTGTTCATGGATACGATCAAAAAACTCAACGAAAAGATCGATCGCCTGGAAGCCGAAAGGAACATAGCCTCTCTCAGCCCGCCACGTGTAACCAACGAACCTACCGCTAAACCAAATGCTTGGACTAACCCGTACCCCAAACGTAACCAACCTGCGACCCCGAAACCACCTCCAAAAAACACTGAAATCAACAATTTTAAAACGGCCACTTTGATCATTCATAAAATGCCAGGTCTGGAACCTTTCAAGGGCATGCGAAACTCTGAAATTGTCAAAAGCATCAATGCAGCACTAGCGAAGGTGAACGCAAAGGTGAACGGTACTGTAGTTAAGATACGTGGAGCTTCGATCCTACAATCGGGCGACATCCTCATGAACATGGACAACAGACATATGAAGAATTGGCTCCTTGAGAATAAACACATATGGTCAAAAATTGCCCATAAGGACTTCGAAACCTCTCAAACCAGATACCCGCTACTCTTCAACTATGTTCCGGCTGATATTGATGTAGAAAGTGAAGACTTCCCTCAGAAACTAAGCAAAGAAAACGGTATCCCAACGGAAACAATCCACTCCGTGAAATGGTTGAATCACCCTAAAGACACGGGGAAAAAACATGGCACAATCGTTCTCAACTTACTCGACAAAGAACTCGCTACCAAGATCGGAAAAGGGGGACTCTTTGCAGACTGCAACTGGCTTAGAAGCAAGCAATACGTTCAAGGACCAACAATGTGTTTTAATTGTCTAGACCTGAATCATACCCATTCCTCTTGCAATAAAATCCCTTATTGCTCCAAATGCGGTGACCCACACAACACTAAAGATTGTGCTAACAATGAGTCAGCCCAAGTGTGCGCCAGATGTTACCACTATGACAACCAGAAATCACCAAACACGATTGACCGCTTCTCTACAAAGTATAACCACTCCCCAAAAAGCCTTGGATGCCCCCTAAGAAACACTAAATTTACTATTGTCCCCCCTTCACTAACTGAAAATGAGTCATAACAACTTGATATTCCTCCCAAACAGATCATCTACCCCTCAAATGCCGATATTAGAAGACGACCAATCCTCAAACGACCAATCTTTATCCGAATCCTCTTCTCCATCAAACAACTTCTCGATTTTTCACTTCAACTGCCAAAATTCAATCCAAATTACACACGAAGCTCTCACTCAAACCCAGTACTCAGTCTTAGCCCTCCAAGAACCTTGGCTCAACACACACACCAACTCATTCCCCCACCACAAAGCCTGGCGACTAATCACTGCCTATGATTACCAATCAACCTCTTGAACTGACAGACCTAGAGTTTGTCTTTACATTTCTAAATTAATTCCCACATGCCAGATTACAGTACTGCCAAGCTCTACTGACATCATTATAGCAGTAGAAATAAACGACCCCTCTCCTCAACAAACCAAACTCAGGATTGTATCTTGGTACAATCCCCCTGGATCTTTACGAGGCCTCATGATCCTGGAAAACTGGTTTAAGAAGTTCCATAAACGTCAAACCCCCACGATCCTAGTTACGGACGCTAACCTTCACCACCCTACCTGGAATCCACCAGGGTACCAAAAAACTGATAGCCAATCAAAGAAACTGATCTCACTATTCGGATCCATGGGTCTTAAACTTACGTCCCCAAGGGGGGTCCCCACTCGACTCTTGAAAGGTACTCAACCTACAACCATAGATCTAGTTTGGGCAAGCTGGAACCTGACAAACAAGATCTCAAGTTGTAGAGTACTAACAAATGGCCCTTCATCTGATCACCTCCCTTTAGAAACCTTTCTTGATTTTTCTATTATCCCTCCAATAGAATCACATATATCTTTCAAAGTAACTGACATCCAGATCCCTCCTTTCCACAGTTATATCTCATCAAAGCTTCACCTCCTTCCACCAGAATATCTCCATGATGAGGACATCAACTCTGCTGCGATTTCACTTTCAGATATTATCCTTGAAGCAGCCCAAAATCAGGGTAAGAAGGTCAAGACTAAAACCAACGTTGGGCCGGTGCGTTGCTACGTGTGAGCAACGTCGAGCAACGCACCGCAACGGGTACAGCCGAGCAACGCCGAGCACCGCAACGGGTCGGACATTACTCGATGCGTTGCCCCCTTCGGTCAGAATTCCCGGCCGTTGCGGTGCGGTGCGGTGCCGTTGCTCACAACGCAACGGGGCAACGGGGCCAGTGCGGGAAACTCGAGGAAAGCAAGGGTGTCAGCTGGCAGGCTGCTCAGCATCCATCCCTTGCTTCGATTAGACAGCAAAGCCTTCCCGATTCGATCAACCACCTCACACAAATGGACCACCCCTCGCTTAATGAAACGATGGCCTCGAACACCGGAATTCCCGTCAAAAAAAAACCTTTTCACTTCAACTTCGTCTCAATTTTCAGCTCGACTCATCCCTTTAATACTCGTTTTCACCTTTTTTTTCCCCATTCCATCATTATTGTCAATCATCAATTGTCTTTTCTATCTTCTCGCATCATGGACAGCAGCCCTGATTCCCAAGATTCCAACCTCCTCGGCTCCCAAGAATCTGATGCCTCATTCACTCCACGTTTAACAACACCACTTCGTCGTTCGTCAAGACCACCCACGCCTTGTAAAAGTATTCCTGGGATGATCCGGCCCTCTTCCGATAGTCGCACTGCAATAACTCTTCCACAACAATCCACCAGTGGCTCATCAAAGGTACGGAATAAACCCAAATATACCCAGAAGAATCGAGCCACCTCTCCCGGTTTGGATTCTTCCCAACATTCAGCTCCAGCAACCCGCACCAAGCGGAAGCGTTCACTTTCAAAGTCATCGCAGGTGAGTAGTTAAGAAGCCTTATAGTATAAGCATTTCACTATAGTATCACTAATCGCTGATTCTTCCTTTGAATCCTATCTGATAGCGCCCTGATGACAATTTACCACCTGAGTCTGAAATGAACCAAGACTCAGACGATGGCCTCTCCAAACGTCAAAAGACAAAGCGATCCGAGGTACTTGACGTAAGCAGCGAAAATGAAGAAGAACCCGAGTATACTCCTCCGCGCGAATATTATGGAACACCTTGGCAATCTAAATTTGATGTAGGCCATTTCTGATTCTATCCATCCTCACTTTCAAAAAAACTAAAATCCGTCTTGTCACTTGCCTCAAAAGAAAGAAAAGGGTCACCCGCCGTGTTCATACCCTTGTCTCTTTTGCAAGATGACAGTACGAGTGGCCCATGATTCCCTCGGCAACCTGAAGGTTCATCGTGACGGATACGGTAAAAAACGTCGTCGATTGCCTTGTAAAAAGCGTCAAGATGCAATCGACGGCGGTATGATACTTCCACCATCACTACTCGACATCGAAGCAGCCTCGGCTATGGCTGTCCAGAAGCAGATGCCTGATTTCTTCGAAAGCAAGCTGCCATTCAATAACGACGTCCTGAATCAGATGTTAGCAGTCTGGATCCTCGCTGAAGCTTTACCTTGGAATCGAATCGAGGATTCAATATTACGCTCGGCTTTTCAATATGCTCGGCGTGATGCCAAGATATTTGGGAGAACATGGGTTGCAAGAGAAGCTGCGGGCATGTATGTTTCATTTCAAGATACGGTTTTAAAAGAGATAACAGTTAGTCTTTCATCTATGTTTTATTTATGATTCAACGCTGAAAATGGAATTTTTTGTACCTGCAAGAACAATATTGGCCAGTTTACGTTGATACATGATGGATGGACGACTGCCAACAATATCCATGCCTTCCTAGGCGCAGCGGTGACCTTTGTTGATGATGATTGGAATTATCAAGTGCGCCATTTAACCCTTAAGCTCATTGCTTGGCATCACAAGGGTGTGTGGCTCGCACAGCCTTTGGTTCACTTTATGAAAAAGCATAAACTTCAATATAAGATGAGTTTGTTTTCTTTTTTCTACTTTCTTTCTTATCTGTTACTTCCTACTTCAATTATTCCCTTTTAACTGACTTCCTATTTTGACAAAATATCCACATGCTTGCGCAGGTCACCGACTCTGGCTCGAATAACATCACCATGGCAAACGAGATGCACTCTCAATTCTTGCAGCATGAGGAAAGCCAGCTTGAGTCAGAAACCTTACCAGCCGAATCATATACTTGGAACCCGACGACCGACTATGCCAGGTGCTTCTTACACAAGGTCTCTTCCACTGTCAAAGGTGGTTTAGAGGAGCTTGGACGAGCCGCTCCTTCGCGGCGCCAGGAACGCGAGGAACTTCTTGGTGTTTTTCCTTTTTCTTCAACACTGCCAGTAATTGCCGAAGAGGATGAAGACTTACCGGATACCAATTCATCATCTACTCCAATCCATATTGATTTACCTGAAGATGATGAAGTACCACCCGAAGATGTTGAAACTGACCATGATTCTGCTGGTGAAGAGTGTTTGGCAGCTGCTCCAGATTATGATGAAGATACCGAAGACCAGAAGGATGATCACGATCCTACCTTGGAGATTGAACCTGGAAAATCGAAAAGTACCGCCAGCGCCGCGTACCACACAAGTGGTTCACGAAAGAAGGCCAATCAGTTGAACAAGCTCATCAGCAAGGTAATGTGTTCTTTTAGTTCAATCGCTTTAACTATAATTTTTTACATAAAAGCTGATTTTGATTTTGATCCAGGCCAACTTCATCTCACGTCGAGTTGCTCGGTCTGCAGCATGGCGCCGACACTTTTCAAGAACGGCAAAGACTATGAATTTGAAAGTCCTGCCTTTGACACCGGGATACAACGCTACTCGGTGGAATTCCGAATTTGACTCTCTTAACCGATTGGTCCAGGCTCGCAAAGTAAGTGGCTCAAATGTTTAAAACTATATATATATATATTTCTCTAACATACATCCTACTAGGTCGTCAACAAACTTTTAGCTGACGACCTCGAACTTGTCAAGATGAAGAAACGGCGAAAAGGGAATAAAAAACCGCGTGGATACTTTCACGAAATCTTCTTTGCTCCAGACGACTGGAGCGCCCTGGAGGAGTTGACAACTGAACTCGCTGTGAGTGTTCCTTTTCTTCTGATCATGTTATTTCCAAAACTAACTGTCTGAATTATAAATCCACAGCCATTTCTGGACTTAACTAAGCGAATGGAGGGTGACGGACCTACCGGCTGCTTGGTTATACCTGAATTCTACGCATTAAAGGTCCATCCTGCCTCCCGGGTCGAGGAACTATCATTGGGTGATGCCCTTCTTCCCATGATACGTTCGATGCAAGTGCGCGTAGATAAGTATTTCGACGAGGCGTTGCAATGCGATACAACGGTCATGGCAACACTGCTCAACCCCTTCTTTCGACTACAATTCTTCGAGCACGCCTTTGGATTGGAACATGAAGTCACCCGACGAGCACGCAAGCTCCTTCAAGACAAGTTTGATACTCGCAAGACTAAGCTTGCCTTGACCACGCCTCCAACTCAGACTCAGCAGCCTAATGTGCCCAAGACATCAAATCACGCGGGTCCAGGCAATCTCTTCCAGCTTTTCAAGGCTAACGATCCGGAGGTCGAGTCAAATGAAATCGCGGCTTACCTTAAGGGCACACATCCAATGGCGGCTAAAGACGACGCACGAAAAACCAAGGCAGTCCTGCCATGGTGGAGGGTATGGACTTCTTTCACTTGAGTTTTATTAATCTAAAGTTGTATTTATTGTTACTGATCAACTTTGCATTAATAGGTCCACTGTGCAGCTTTCCCGATCTTAGCTTCGCTTGCAAAAGACTATCTGAGTCTATCTGCAAGCTCAGCAATAGTCGAACGTACCTTTTCGGCGGCTGCGGATATCTGTTCTTCGGACAGGGTTCGACTGGTACCACGCACAATTGAATACTGTGTGGGTTCACGGCTTTGGTGGCGTCAACGTGTTCCCCTAGGGCACAAGTACAAAGAGGCAAACGAAGCCATTGAGGCTTTTGGTGGTAGACGATCTAAAAAAAAATAGTCTTATTCCTTTTTAAACTTTTTTCTTATTCCTTCATTTTTAATACTTTAATAAACTCCTTCAATACTTCAATTAATTAACTTTTCAGTCTTATCCATCTTTGACCTTTCCCTTAATCACTTCTCAATCCTTCAATTTAATACTTTGATAAACTTTTTTAATACTTTAATTAATTAATTTTTCTTTTTCTTTAAGAAATAAATTCATTGTTCATATTACACTTGCACGCTTGTCCCACACCGTCCCAGTGAGTGCTTAACCCAACCGTGTTGCGTTGCGTGCCAATGTCGAGCAACGATCAACGCAACGCCGAGCAACGACCAACGCAACGCCGAGCAACGCAACGTCAATGGCATTGCTCGATGCGTTGCGGTCGAGTTGGGGGAAACTTCATCCGTTGCGTTGCGCGCAACGCCCGTTGCTCACAACGCACCGCAACGGCCCAACGTTGCTAAAACAAACAAGCAAAAAGCCTGGTGGGATAAGGACAAGCTCAACCCGATCCTCAAAAACCAAAACCGAGCTAGAAGATGGATGATTCTATCTAACCTACCGGAAGCCTACACTTGCTATGCGGAGTGGCAAAAATACTTCAGGGAACAAGTCCTAAAATCAAAACTCAATCATTGAAAATCCTTTCTGGCCTCCTGCTCGGGAAATGATTCATTCAAAGCCTTCCAATATATCAAGTCAAATACATCCAGTGACATTGCTCCTCTTAAGAATCCTGACGGCTCAATTGCAACTTCAAAGGAAGACCAGGCCTCAATTATATACTACGGCACCTCAGTCGCCCATGTTGACGCTGACCTCTCGGATATCCCAAGGAACCAACCACTGACAACAATCTCACATTATCCTGACCTCAAGGCCCATGAACTCAGGAAGATCGTGAATAACCTCCCGAACCAAAGAGCTAACGGTGGAGATAATTTATCAAACGAATTGATCAAGATGGCACTACCCGCCATTGAGAATGAACTCTGCCGTCTTTTCAATGCATGCTTTACCAGAGGTTTTTTCCCAAATACTTGGCGTTCTGCGGTCACCATCATAATCCGGAAAAATGGTAAAGATGACTACTCTAATCCCAACTCATACTGCCCAATAGCCTTATTAAGCTGTTTAGGGAAAATCCTTGAGAAGATTATCACCAGTAGGATCACTTTCTGGGCTGAAACACGTAAAGTTATTGATATTGGCCACATGGGAGGTAGACGAAACCACTCTACAGATGACGCCCTCCTAATCCTCACGTCGTGGATCAAGGAAAAGTGGAGGAGAAATGAAATTGTCACGGCACTGTTCCTGGATGTTAAATCAGCTTACCCGTCGGTCCACCGAGAGAGACTATTAGCCATCCTTCACAAACGACAATGTCCAATATACCTTCTTCACCTGATCCAGGGATTTCTATCAGATAGATCAACATACCTACGACTTCAGGATTACTCCTCAGAAAAATTTGATGTCAGAAATGGTTTACCACAAGGCTCCCCATTATCAGTGATCCTATACATCATTTATAACTCGTCACTCCTGAAAACACCAAGCATATCCCACAACTCCAAGGACATATCTATTGGATTCATTGACAATGTAGTCCATTTAGTTTCCTCTGCCACATTTGAAGAGAATATCTCCAAACTCAGGTGTCACGCTAATCGATCCCTGGAATGGGCTAGAACTCACGGGGCTATTTTTGACAAGAAGAAGGCCCAACTAATCCATTTCACCAACAAAAGAAATCCGAAACTTCCCAGCTTTCTTTTTGGTGAAGTGCTTCTGGAACCTAAACAGGAGGTGAAATGGTTAGGTGTCTGGTTCGATTCCAAGCTTCGTTTCAATAGTCACATTCAAAACATGAAGAAAATTGGTGAATTCTCACTTCACCAGCTCCAAAGATCAAACAAATGCTATCCGGGTCTCTCACCAGGGGAAGTTAAGAAGCTAGCGACCTCTTCACGGCAAGAAACTTGTGTAAAGTGAATAAAATCTTAACAACACTGCAAAAATACGGCTCAAAGACTCATCTTAGGAGCTTTTAGAGGAACATCAAACGATATGATCAATCACGATGCCTACATGTTACCTTTTCACATCACCGCCATCAAGAGAAATCATAACTTCCTACTTAAACGACTCACTGCTCCAGATTCCCATCCAACGCATAGCTTTATTAGACACGAACTCAGTCAAACACCTACAAAACATAAAGGACCTGTCCAAGACCTAATTCAACTGGAGAAATTTCAAGAACTAGCAAAAGAAAAGATAGAAACGATCTACGCACATGCCTTTCCCCCATGGACCAAAATGTTAGGTAGTCTTCATAACCTAGACAAAACGAAAGAAGAGGCCGCAGAGTTAGTTCCCTCACAAGTCAAACGTGAGGAGGATGAGAAGACCATAGTCATCTTCACTGACGGCTCATTATCATCAGAAGGTGGAGGAGCCTCAGCGGTCACGAATTCAAGAGCCAAATCCATCTTGATTTCACAAAGCAACAATTTCTCAAACCACGAAGCCAAATTACTAGGTATAAAATTAGCGTCCCAGGTCGCTAATGAACTACTAAGACAACATAGACCCCCATCTACGAGCGTAGCAATCTTCAGTGACAATCAAGGAGTCTTGAAACTAGTCCACGACATTCCAAGGGCCTCATCAGGACAACATCTTGTAATTGGCATTCGCACCATTTTCAAAATTCTACCAATAGATGTCAACATCCGATTCTATTGGACTCCGGGTCACGTAGGTATTGAACTTAACGAGAAAGCGGACAAAACTGCAAAAGAAGCAGCCATTGGGCAAACAGAAAGTATCACGCTTCCCACCAGTCTAGGCAGCTTAAAGAAACGAACAAGAGAAAACTTCAACATCAAACACTTAACATTTCTACCAGGTAAAAGTTCTTTTTCTACAAAACCGGAAGAGATCTCCAAGGCCCTAATGAGCCTAGAAAAAGGTCGGGCTGCAGCTATATTTCAACTTAGAGCAGGACATAGCCCCTTAAATGCACATTTATTTAAACGTAACCTGGCTGACAACCCCCTTTGCAATACATGTAAACTTAAGGAAACAACTGAACACTTTCTTCTTTATTGTAGTCGATATAAAAACGCAAGAAAACAATTCCGAAAAGACCTTCACAAGAACGAAATTAAAGTAAATTGGAATAATGCCAAGAAACTATTAGATTCACCTCAAGCTTTCTTTCTATTATCTGAATTCATTTTAAAAACTCAAAGATTTGTTCATTTTCACTCTTATTTAAAGGATCAACACCACGAAAAGCGCTCGCGGGACAAAGATTAGGGTAGTATTGGATCCGCAATCACCACAAAGTTTTTTATCATCAAATGATCTATACCCAACAAGCTAAACGCCTCACCTCCTTCCTTAAATTGGGGGACGAGTGATCAGCAATTAGCGGGTATCTCCTGAAACTGGATTCCTTAACATACATGATAGCAGTCTTCCGTTCTCAATATATTGAAGAAAAGGAGGTTCAAGGCAACATGTCACTGTTAATGCATATTAGAGCGGAGTCACGATTGGTAAACAATCAATGACAGCCCATACACGTTTTAGTTGTTCCGTTCCTTCCACCTTAGATTGGGGATGAGTCCAGAGAACTTAACTGTCACTGTTGCTCAAGTCACTGCATATATGGATTTTTCCAAGAGAACCGTCGCAAATGGTAATCATCCCTGACAGAACAAACAATCCCTGGGCTCCTTACCTTCCACCTTAGATTGGGGATGAGTATGTGAACTAAATTGTCACTGTTGCTCTCTGTTTCAAAAAAAAAGAGAATGACAGCTTTCTATTGCGTAATGATCTAAAGACTACTCTAATTAATGTTCCGACTAGATGACCGCAAATTTCTAGTGAACTAGTATCCTCATTGTTAAATAGTTTAGTTAGTGTAATATGCAAATAAGCAAAAATGCACTTTTAAAAAAAAAAAAAAAAAAAGAGTAGGCTCCCATAGCTCTTTTCAAGCTCTGAGAAGGCTCATGTAGGTTGTATATACAATCTAATACCCCTAAAAGCACAATAAAAGCCATGATTTTGCCTCTTTGGAAACGTGAATTTTGTAAACTTACTATGCAATGAAATAATAGAAATGTTTTTTTAGACATAAAAGCACAAGCTTGGGCAAAATGGAAGCCTGATGCCCTGGGGAATAAATTCCTCATGATACCCACAACCCCCTAGGAGGCGGACCTGATACTAATCTATGTCTCAGGAAGCAAATCTTCCCAGCGGGTTTTCCTGACATATCACTCAAAACCTGTTAACAGTTTTTGGGGCTCCCACATGCTCTGGAATGTGGCACAAGCAATCCTGGAGGCACACTGGGGTACTCCAGGTAAAGAGAATGACCTTAGTGCCTGGAAATTGTGGCAGACTCCTGGGGTCCCAATTCTTAAACCTCCAGCAAACATGGATTTTAATCTTGTGTTGCAAGCGGTCCATCAGGTTCATATGGGCACTTTGACATTTTATTTGAGGCAACTTTCTGAAGTTAATCCCAAAGCTCCAAATAAAAGCCTGATTCTCTGATATGACTCCACAGAGTATGTCCAAAGAGGGAAAAAAACTCTGCATCTACTTGCAGAGGATGGGGTAGCCAAGCAATTGGTAGACAGATGCTACATGGAATACTTCTTGCCAGGGGCTTTGAGGAAGGCAAATATAAAAAAACAATACAACTTGAACTTGAGCATACAGGATTTTGCCACAGTGGTTGAGGAAGACAATGCTATGAAGAATTGTGACATATGGCAATATATGTGGAGATCAAAGTTCTGGTCACAAATGGCTCATGGTCTCAAGGGCCTACCACAATATGCTGAGCATCTTACTCACATTTTAATTATGATTGAACAAGACCTAACAAAGCCTCTTTCCAGTGTCCACATTAATCAAGCCTGCATGCTTGTACCCACAAGGGATGGAAAAGGAAAGTGTGTAGGTGAAGACCTGTGGCTGGAAATACAAGATTTCTGGCTTAAATTTTTTACCCTCAATCAGTAGGTTTGACTGTGACTTGTCTTTGTTTTCAGTTGCTTATTTATCATCATAATTTGAGGTAAAGTGTACAGATATAAAAAATTTGTTAAACATAATATCAGATAGTATCCCCTTGGTATGCTATTTCTCATGAATTATATTTGTCTGAGGTTGGTAGACATCCAAAGGACTGATGAGCTCTGAAATCATGCATAATAGCTTCAAAAACTTATAGAGCAGCTGAAGATATGATCATGGGGGCAAACACCAATCTACCAGTCAAACAAGAACAACATAAGTGAAGTATCTATTTTCAAAAGACTATCTGGCTCAAAATATAGATGAAAACATAGGGTATGATAACCAGATATATTAAACATTGGCACACAAAATCTGGCAAACAATCTGAGAATTGATCATAATAATCGGAATCCAAGCTGTTACCATTGGGGAAACCAAAACAGTTGAATTCTTCAATTGATCAATGCTGATAAATAAAAACAGAGACACAAGAAATGATAGTATGTGAGGCAATGATTGTGAGTGATACCTCCTCTGACATGGTCCAAAAGGTTAGCAACGAGTTGGATGAAATAAGAGCTACAAGAGCTCATAAATTTGCAAGAAAGTACAAGGAAGTTATCAGGTATGCATGTGTCAGACTCAAGGCATCATTCAGAGAGGAAAGGAGAATATCAGAAGCTGGGAACAAACCAATGATATCATAATAGCGAGGAAAAATTGCTACGAAGAATGGATTTCTGGCAAAGCGCGGCTGTGGAACTAGACCTGCACTAATGCATCCCTTTCAAGACCCTCCACTTTCCTTATACCTCGCTCGACCTCTATCCACTCTACAAAGGGGAAATTTCGTGCACCCAAAAAAGCAAATTACAAGAAGAGAAAGCTTGACATCAATGTGCTGTATCCATTAACTCAGACTTGTATCCATGAGGGACTTTGTTAATTTTTAATTAACCCTTTTACATATTCGAAATTTCCCTGACCTGACAAGGAAGCCTTACCGTGCGTTGGCGTTGAGCTGGAATCACAGGTCCGTTTGGAGGTCAAAGTTTGACTTGCATTGAAGGAAAGTATTCTCTATGTGAGTACAGTAGGGATCTATAAAGACAGATAACGACTTATAACGACACAGTGCAAAAGATCGATTTCGCGAGGTCACTTGCTACCACGCACGCGTGTAGGTAGTAGCTTCCTTAGACCATGTCTAATTGTACGAGCTGTTCTCCTGGTCGTTTGTGAAGACCTTGATCTACCGTGCCAAGCTTATTTCATTTCAAAGTACCTTGTCCGCGCATTTAGCATAAAGTGACATGGTCCTACCTCTTCCCAATACGAAGTAGCCCTGGATTCCGTTTACCCTTCAGTCAGTTCTCTCTCACTCGATTCAACATTATTCTTCAGTTCATCCTCTGGGACAAGCTTCGATTAAAACAAGGCCAAAATCATCATCTCCATACACGCTCGTTGGTCCTCTCAATCGCTATTCTATTATATCATTTACGTTCGACATCTTACCAGAACTGTTCCACTCATGCCACCACTTCAAGCAACGCCCATCTTACTTTGGGCCACTTTCCTTTTCAGCATACAAGTTTCCCTTGCAACTCACTCATCGAGCCCAAATTCTCGCGACAGTCATCACCACGTTGCACGCGCACGCGCCGATCAAGTTCCCATCCAAGTTGATTTACACAGTCGAGGGTTTGAGTCAGCGGAAGGGAATAGCCCGGTGACTTCTACGCATCAGAAGCGAGATGAGCCTATCAACCCCGGCTTTGACTATGCTCGGCAAAAAATACGAGGTGTCAACATAGGCGGATGGCTTGTAACGGAGCCGTGGATTACACCATCATTGTACAATACTGGCAATAGCAAAATCATTGATGAATACACATACTGCGGGCAATTAGGGTAAGGAAAACAATCATCAGCTCTCCTGAAACCTCTACTAATCCAAGAATTGCGTGTTGATTAGACGAAGCGAAGCAACGAAACGTTTGCATGCTCATTGGGAGTCGTTTTACAAGGAAGGTGATTTTCATACGATCAAGTCATATGGTCTCAATCACGTCCGTATCCCCATCGGTAAGTTTTCCAAAATATCTTTTCATGAACGGGTCCGGTAATACCACATCAGAAAGAGGACCTGAATGTTTTTCTCAAATCAGGATACTGGGCTTTTGACATCTCAGCCGGAGAGCCTTATGTTCAAGGACAATTTGAGGTAAACAAACACTCTCTAGCACTCAAAAAGATGATCTTTAAAGACGACTCACAATTCGTGACGATTCTATCCTGCAGTACCTCAAAAAAGGAGTTGAGTGGGCAAGACGAGCAGGTCTTAAGGTCATGATTGATTTGGTGAGGAAAATACATTTATTTCATCTGAATTGCATAGAAAGCTCATTTTGCGAAACTGTTTCAATGGTTCAGCACGGTGCTCCTGGTTCACAAAATGGTTTCGGTAGGGCTTGAAATTTGACATACAGTAGTGTTGCATTCTATGCTTACTTGCCCTCTTGTTCTCATTTCGCCCGCTATCATAGACAACTCTGGACGCAAGGGTCCCATAAACTGGGCTACCGATCCAAAGAATCTTGTTCGTACTAAACAGGCACTTGCTAAACTTGCCAAAGAGTTTACTCAACCTAAATATGGTAAGACTCTTTATCCTGCATTGAAGTGATTCGATTGTTTATTGAAGACATTTAAATGTTGTGTTTGAAATAGCGGGAACGGTGACCAGCTTGGAAGCACTCAACGAGCCAGCCGGATTTGCTAACGATGGTCACAAGACTCTGAACGCCGCGAAACAATATTACTATGGTATACGACACTCGTAAATCATAGTTTTCACAATCGTACTGACAGCGCTGGAACTGCTTTTGTTCTATTTGATAGACGGCTACACGATTGTACGACACCCAAACGGTCAAGGTCCCCAATCCAATGTACTCTATGCGATACATGATGCATTCCAGCCACTTGATACTTGGTCAACTGCTTTTCCTCAACCAAAGTATCAAGGACTTGCATTAGACACGCACATCTACACTGTCTTTGACACCCCATCTCTCCAAAAGAATGATGACGCCCGCGTGGCTACCTATTGCGGTATGGCTTCCGGTTTAGCAAGGAGTAATTCAGCTATCTGGACCTTCGTTGGAGAGTTTACACCTGCTCCTACAGATTGTGCACCCCGTCTTAACGGCCAAGGGACTGGCGCGCGATATGATGGTACCTTCATGGATAGCCAACGTCTGGGATCTTGCCAAGGAAAATCTGGATCCGCTAAAAACTTCTCGAAGGAATACAAGACCAGTCTCGCTCGATTTTTTGAAGTGCAGACAACAGTTTATGAAAAAGCTTCAGGTTGGTTTATGTGGACTTTCAAAGCCGAGAACGCAGATGATTGGAGCTATGACGCTGGTGTGAAGGTCAGTGAGGTCAAAGTTTCTAAATCTGTCCCAATCGAATTAGTCAATAGATCATCCTGACTAAGTCTTCCTTTATCTTTGCAACAAAACGTTGATAGGGTGGTTGGATACCTCGGGATCCGGGATCCAAACCGCATGGACATCCATGTAGTTGATCATTTTCTTAATTTCTGCATCCGTTTCACTTCCTTCCAAACACCTTTTCAATATTTATCAGTTTTTGTCATTTCTACACATGGTACCATTTTTTTGCATAACTTATGATTTGATTGTTCAATCTTTCTCATAGATTGTTTTCATGAGTTTTATTTACTCTTTAATCACTACTTGATTTTTCCTATGATCATCACTTTGGTAGAAAATTCTAAGCCATATCTCACGAATGAATGAAATCCACTGAAATCCCCTAGTTTAGAATAATAATAGTTTTTTCTACGTGAAAAAGAAAAAAAATCTGGGTGATCTGAACACCTCATCTACCCTGACTTCCATCATGCTCAATTAGGTCCAGATAAGTGACTTTTCGAGCCTTGAAGACAAGAGAAAGTAGCCTCTCTATAACAAAAACATTTACGTCGCGTGGTTGACTCATGGAGGCAAGATAGAAGCGTATATACCAACACTAAAGATTTGGCGGTTGTTTGTATGAAGCATCAGTTTCAGTTGAGAAATTGAAAGCTATCCAATTCCACCCGTCTCTTCAATCTTGTACTCATCACCGGGCAGGCCTTCCAGAAAGTTCGAGATGTATTCGAATCCCGTATTGTGGCGAGACTGATTGTTGACTGGTGTACATATATCTTTTGACTGTTCATTCTCCGCTTAGATCCCGTGTTTCTCTTGTGTTTTTTAGATTTGCTTGATGTGATAAGAAGTGTGATTGCCGTTGCAACTATCGTCGTGAAGTCAAACAAATGAAAATATATTGAGCTGAACTTCAATGACGGGTCTCGAATACGATCGAGATCATATACCGGTAACGCCCCGCCCTCCCCCGCCGCGCGTTCATTCTCAGCTCAGACTATTATACAATAACATCAAAGGATGTTTTGGATTTCCTTTGCTTGACGTGATAAGAGGTTCGTCGTGGCCATCCCCGCCAACAGTCGCAAATACATAAAAGGTCTTGAGTGGTAGTAAACTGACAGGTTTCAAACGCGATTGAAATTTTACAGGTCGGAGACTGTTTGAACTGATTGAAATGACCATGTCGTGCTCCAAGACGCACCGGCACAAGTTCTGACCTCACCAGCGCAGCGAGTTTCTAACTCTCTGTCTTTTGGCTTCGCGACAACGATCACACTGGCAACCATACTTCTTATCACCTCAGGCAAAGGAAACCTCAAATTCAAAGGAAAGTCACATACATAGTTTAAGCGGGGAAGGAAAAATCAAAAGACGTGTGTCATACGAGTCCTCAATCGGCTGCTCCAACATTCAAAACTTGGAAATATCCATCTTCTACACGCCAATATGATGCGGCTCTGCAGAACACAATGCGTATGTCTGTAGGATCCTTCCAATTGCCTCACGCTCGAATTCAGCTGACAGAGCCGTAAAACAACAAGACACCAGACATGCAGCACATTATTCAGTTACGTCCGACCAGTATCGGCCCCTGTAGTTATCTGTTGAGCTCATTAGGGTGTAGCAAAAGAAGCCGATGATTGCAATACTTCCAAAGTGGGGAAGAGACCTCAAGATCCTGGTATCCAGTTCTGGCCACAAGTTTCAAAATGCTGCAAGGTAGTGATTGTATTCAATGAAGGTTATCTGTGACCGTTGTGATACGGCCCCAGAAGGTGTGGAGATTCATGATCTCCTGCTATGGATCGAAGACGGCGGCAGCAGTTATGCAAGATCATCTGTGCCAAGTTTGGATGTGTCTGATGGGTATAAAAGCCAACCAATTTTCATGCTATTTCCTCCTCACCCAGACAAACTTTGGTGTTTTCGTGCATCTTGACAATCACTGGTCTGCTCATTTTCTCATTTTGATTTTTTTTGAATAGCTTCAGTGACTGATTAGCATATATATCTTGTCCTTTTGTGCTGTTGAATTTGTTCAGATAAACAAGCTCTTTCATTAAACACAACCCAAATTCTCACCACACCCACAGTTTCTTTATCGTACGTTACCTGCACAAATCTTTCTCTACATTCATATATCTCCACTGACTTGAATGCACAATCCAGGTCAAATACAATGAAGGTTGTGAGCCTCACTGGAACCATTGTGCTTCTCTGCACCTCCACTGCAACTGTTCAATCCATGGCCATTGGAACTCATGATTCAATGGCAACTTGTTACCAAAGATTTTCAAAAGAAACACAGTCTTTAGAAGATGAAGCAATGGTTATTCCTTCCAGCCATGACTATGAGGAAGCAGGAGATAGTCAGTCTGGTGGTGGTAGTAATAAGAGCTCATGTTGTGGCTGCACCATAATGTAAGAGAGTGGGAAAAAAGATTGCTTGAAATTACACTGTTTCAAGAAAGATTGTTTTTTTTAAATCTTGTCAATGTGCAAAACCCGGGTTTTGTCTCTCACTCAATTTTGCCTCCCTGCTAAGTAGAAGAATACAGAAAAATTTAAACTTGAATTCACAAGTAACACAAAGGCTATCATTACTGATAAGGTCTTATCACTTCTTTTACATATCTCTAGCTGTCATGCCTTACTAGTTGCCCTTTGTTTTGCAACTTTTCAGGTTAAACACAACCCATTGACCACTGATGGTCACCCAGAATGGGCTGCAATTTATAATCCCAATACCAACAATGCCAGACCATTGAACCCACTATCAAATTCATCCTGCACTGTCAGGAGATTTTTGAGAAATGAAACAAGGATCAAGTTAGCCTTGATAAAATAGGGAAGGAAAGCCAGGTGACTGGTAGGAATCACAAGTCAGTGATTTGAATGAGCACTACAGCTATAATCACATAGGAGTGATAAGAGAAAGAAAGGCAAGTGTTGGAAGGTATCCAATATAACAAAACAAGTAATCAAGTAAGGAAACAATATTAAACAAACCCAACATCTTCTTTTGTAACTCTAGACATAGGTTAACAATCTCTAAAAAAAATATCGTGACTCTCACATACTGTATTGGGATTAGCTGATAGAATGTAGTCAGGCATGGAACCAAAGAAAAACAAAGAAAAATGTAATAAACAAATATGCTCAATGCGGATAGGTGGTTAGGAGTAGTATGGTTACTAATGTAAAATAAGCATCACATTGAAGCTTTAAGGCTGATCTAAGCAAAAAAATTGATTGATTGTCTTCTTCTTCTTATTGTCAGTCTTGAAGGAAATCCAGTGGTCCATCATTCTCTGTGAGTTACACTAGAGGATGTGTGGGACATGTTTGGTCATGTACATTTGTTTATTATACGGTATCTCATATGTACTCTGGTGCTTTGTGACCCAGACACGTAAAGACTCAATCTTAGCCTTGAAGTCTCTTTATGCCCTCCTACTCTTCTCGAGTCGGAGTGCACGGGTTTGTAGGGGCCCTGGGGCCGTAGACTCCCTGGCTAGGGTGGATCTCTGCTACCACTACTCGGGACGTGACGTCCGGAGCCTGCGGAGAGCCACTCTGTCAGGGACCGAGCTTTCGCGGAACTGTCACTGGCCAAAAAACCCCTACCCTGTCGATCTCACATATGTCAAAGATCGACGTCTACTTCCCCTTCACAACAATTGGCGATCTCTTTATTCTCAAACCAAGAGCACGACTCAGCATATTTCTCTCGCCTCAGTAAGATTCATTTCGTCATATATCCCTCAAGGTACGTCTCTAAGTATTCAGTCTTCTATCTTGATCAAAACATCCTCTGGGCCTAATGTCTTGTCTACAGGTTGATCCGCCCTTTGACCATGGACGACTTACTTCAATACCTCCGAGTCTCCCATTACCTTCCACACGTACTTTGCATCTGCCTCTTGGTCCGGAGAGTACTTCCTCAAGTACAACTCATACGCCTTTGAGTGCCATCTCCCCATTCGCACTATCTCTTCCAGGGGCCTGTTGTCATTCCAACGTAACGTAGCTCCCCCCACCCTAAATGAGTGACCGGTTAACCTGTTATCGGGATCTGATGCATCCCACACTTTCTTGCAGGTACTCATAACTTCGGATTTTGATAGCGTTTTCCGCTGACCCTCTTCGTTGAGGTAGGAAAAGAGGGGGTCTTTCCGTGTCGTTCCGTCATCGAATCCGACCAATATACATATCATTCTGACTGGATCTAGGAGGGATGGTCTTCGTTGCAAGTGGATCCACTGGACCTTGCCTGGTTTGGAGGTCTTGACGTCGTAGATCGCGAGTTTAATAAGGTTGAAATCTCCGTACCACAGAACGTCTTTGACTAACGTTGGTCTTTTTGTCTTTGAATTAGATACAAGTTCTCCTAACCGCGCCATACCCCAGAAGGAAGTCGTCGCCACCGCTAGTACTGCCTGATCTTTGCGACTTCTGTTTGTGAGGGCCTTCAGTAACTCAGCCATATGTCAAAGTTCTACCGGGCGCTTCCGTTCTTTTGGGTGTTCTATCTTCTTCGCTACGTCGGCGGTACTCACCGCCTTTAACAATTTCTTCGTCCTCTCGTCATTCTCCGCTGGAAAGGGCTCGTTGCGAAAGAGGTGCCAGGAGCGGATACCCAAGATGTACTTTGTGAGCGTCGTTTCTGATATCTTATTACTCTTCGTACTCAGATTCACCGGGACCTCCTTGCTAATAACTTTATTCACAGGTTCTCCTGCCCAAACAATGAAGAGGTGGAGCGTGGTTGAGTCTAAGGGCAAGATGTCTGCTCGTGTCCTACCGGTAGCTTCGGCGAACTTTACTAGTTTTGACACTGCAGATGAATAATTTTTGAGTGTTGACTGTTTCCAGCTGCCGCTCAATAACACTCTTTGTACAGGGTTGGATCTCCACTTTATCAATCTAGGCAACCAATAGGGGTGACGATGTTAGTTCCTTGCGTCACATCTCACGCTGTAAGGTGTGGTAAAAAGGATTTTTTTTTACTTACGAAGAACTATCTTTTAAGAATGGTAACAATTTCTTTTCATTCTCCATTTCCTCTAACGTGCCTCTCTAACAACGGAAGTAAGTCTGATGGGAGGTTAATCCTTACTTCTTGATTCAGGTCCCAGTTGTCGATTCCCCGCGTGAAAGGTCGTCTGCCTGGTTTTCCCCTGAAGCGACTCAGTCAATAGCCAGGTCACACTGTAGCGCTGTGAGTGCCGTTTGGATATGCTTCCACTTGTTGTTTACTGACTTATCTCTTGATTTTTGATTCTTAATTGCTGCCTCGGTTGTGGTATTATCCACCTGTGGCACCTGTGTCAGTTGACTTCCAAGTCAACTGTAACATGTACTTTCTGACTGACTTACAAGCCAGGGGTTAGCCCCAGAGCACACAGGTGCGCTGGTGCACAACCTTTCTACCTCTCAAGTCATCAAAACAAAGAATTTTCTCAATATTTTGAACAGAAAAGACTCATATACAATGAAGCCTGACTTCACGTCCTTTTTATATTTTTTTTCTACTGACTTTTTTTTTAAGTCACCAGAGCGCTCTGAGGACCCCCCCAGAGCGCTCTGAAGACTCCTTTGAGCTCAAACTTCTACAAGTCCTTACTCGTCATCTCACTCACACATTCACCACCTCAACCATTCCACAAACACACCAAATCACTAACCAAACATAATATATGCTGGTAAAGTATTGTACATACCCAGGCATTTCAGTACGCATTCTCTCTCGCCAAACACTTAGCTTTCGACTGCTCTCACCTCATAGCAATCAAATCAACCACATCAATCTCACAAATCATCTCTCACAATCAACACCCAAAGGTATGTACAAAGCTTTCACATCTCTCTGTGTACCAGGACAAAGTTCTGAATTGATGATATTCATTTTGTTTCACATATTGTTCGGATCTCCAGCCTCATCTGCTTCAACCCCACCCTCTCCTTCGGCCTCCTCAGCAATATCAAGCAACTCAAATCCATCCAACAGACCCCACTGCCTGTTCTCTAATTCCTGGTTATCGAAGATCTCCTGAAGGGCCAAGGCGATCTCAGTGGCTTCACTCTCTTCTAAAGGAGTTGATTCCACAATATCTGCCTCTGTAGCTGCCTTCCATGTGAGTTTGCCTTGCGACACAAGAGCTGCCCACCGTCTCCTGATCAATTCCTCCTCCTCTTCTGTTAGGCTACTCGATCACACTGTCATCTTGATCACCTCATTCATCTTGATATTCCACACCATCCACAATTGGGCATGGTCTTGGCTAAGACGCGCATACAGAGCTTGTGAGACAGTTTTGCTGATTTTTAGCCGTTCGATCGGACTACCAAATTTGTAATTAACTAGACTGACAAGCCATTGGTTTGCCACACTCTCTGTATCGTTGTCTGCGAAGATCTAGGTCAGCATCTTTCAAAACTGTCAGCATCACCCACCAACGAAATCGAGACCAACCTTCAAGCTCTAGTGCGGTCAACAACACCAATAGTTTCTCCTCCATACCAAGTGCCCATTGTATCGCTTGCCTACACTCTCGACTGATCCAACGTAGCTCGTCTTCAGCATGGCTAACATCCAGGTAAGCTCTAATGCCATCTCTTGTATCACAGGGGCAAAAATTGATGCTCACAACTATGTGAGCGTTGAAATTTTCCTGTTTTGTTCCCATTTGTTTTCCATTTGTTTCCCATTTGTTTCCTATTTGTTTCCCATTTGTTTGCCTTTTATTTCTGCTTGTCAGCTCATTATGTGATCAACAGAAACTGAGGAGATGAGTCAGGCCTCCCTCAGGCAACATTCCTTAGCAAAGAAGCCTGAGAGCTGGCCCATCTGCTCATTTCATCTAAGCCCCTCAGCTCATCCTCAGAGGCATCCCTTGCACAGGGGCAAAAATAGATGCTCACATAGGTGTGAGCGTTGATATTTTTGTGTTTGTTTCAACGTTTGCTCAATTTTACTTCCCTTTTCTTTCCCTTTTCTTTCCTATTTCTTTCTACTCATCAGCTGATTATGTGATCAACCAGAACTGAGCAGAAAAACTAAGCCTTGCCCAGGCTTTATTCCTTAGCAAAGAAGTCTGAGGAAGGGCTGATCCATCTGCTCGGTATATCTCAGCTGCTCAGCTGATCCTGAGCGTCATTCCCTGGTTCAGTAGGCTCCAAGGGACACCACTTATGATTAGCTTAGGGGCTGAGCTGACCTGAGTATCCTCTTAGCTAATTCACCGCAGCATCCCTCGGATGGATCACACAGGGCCAGCCTTGCCTCAGGTGTCATGGCTCCGGAATGAAGCCTGGTGCCCATCTGATCAGTTGACCAATGCTGCTCAACTATCCCTCAGTGGCATTCCTGAGATCAGAAGGATCCAAAGGATTTCACTGCTCATTGGCTGAGGGGCTGCTCAT